ATATATATATATAATATATATATAATTTTATGCGTTCTTATACAGACAGGGCATATACTTCAGAATATATACGTAAAAATATCGTGTTCGTGTGTCTGGAAAACGTCAGAAGATGCGCTCATGCAGGATAGTGGAGTTAGGCTGTACTTACACCGCAACTAGTGGCGTTGCATCCCCCTTTTTGGAGACAAACTCGCAGGCCCAGGGGACAAACTCGAGAGAGACAAGACAGGCCATGTCGAAGTTGGGGACGTCGAATATCTGTAGAGAGTAGAAAACAACAAAAATGGAGCAAAATTCAGCACGGTAACAAACAAAGGCACCGACAAAATTAACCAGACAAAGATAAACAAGCGAACAAAGTCAAACAAATAAGCAAACTTACACAAACACATGAAATTAAACAAACAAACAAACACACACAGAAACACAAGCACGACAAACAACACAAACAAAACAAGTTAAACATCCAACATGTTTGTTCGTTTGCTTGCTCACCACGCGAACACAGCCGACCAACAACCGAAAAGCCCAATAGAAGAATAGGTAAACAAATAAAATGAAATACACAGACAAAGGAGGAAACAAACAAATACACAAAACATTAGCGCGAAGCCAAGAAGTCCCAATCCAATCCAAGCAAGGCCTTCCGTGGATTCGGTCTTTACTGCAGCCTCCTCAACAGCAGCAGCAGCAGCCAGAAGCATCAGCGGAAAGCAGCAGCTTTGCACACCCTAAGGGTTTTGTCAGCTCCAACACAAGCTGCATATGCGCCTCCATCTTCCCGTGATATGCAGAGGGAATACAGCTCGCCTGAAGAGCATCACAAGACACAGGTAGCTGGGTAGCTGGGTGGCTGGCTAGGAGGCTAGCTAGGCGGCCACCTAGCTACCTAGCCGAAGAGCAAAACTAGCCAAGCAGTTCGCTCTGCACAAGACAACGCGTCGCTCGCTCCCACCGTAGCATATGGCTATCCAGCTAGCTAGACGAGCATCCAGCCAACTAGACAGAGAAACAACTTGGCATCTAGCTAGGCAAACAGCTCGCCAGCTCTCTAGATAGGTAGCTAGCTGAAGAACTATACAGAATAATCAGAGAACTAGCTGAGCAGGTACACCGGTAGCCAACCAAAGAGCTAACCAACTAGCCACCTAACTAGTTTGCTGAGGGGCTAGCTTACCGATGTGAGCCCTGAAGTGCTTCACGAATTCAATTCCTCCTTCCTTTTGAATCCAAAACTTAACATGCCCATCAACAGAGCCGCTCAAAATAAAGCGGTGTGCAGCGCTCGCCACCACTGCAACGAACAAACCATAAAACCTACCCTAAACCGTAAACAACAAACCCCAAATGATGTACTGCAACTGCACGGTGCCTTCAATGCACCATACTCCTGTTCTGTTCTTCTGGGAGGGTGGGGGACTCATCTCCAAGCACTTGTTAGGATTTAGGGGTTCGGGATTAGGGCTTAGGATTTACCGAAGGTAATTTGCTCCCTGTGCATGAAGCTCTTGCTGTACCTAGTGGCACTTGGAAGCTGCTGCAGCAGCAAATCTTCGCACCGCAGGCGGCGCCGCTTCCGCTGAGGGGCGGCTGTGGCCTCAATGGGCTTCGGGCCTGATACATACAAACCCTACACCGTGAACCCTAAACCTATTATATGTACTCAAGAAGCACGGGAAGGCCTCAAGACAAATCGAACTCACAGTCTAGACGGCCTAAACCGGCAGAACGCTCCTCGATATGTTCTTTAGGAGTGCCTTTGTGCAAACCTTACACCTTAAACCATACACCCTAAACCATAAGCCATTCTAACGCACCAAAATCATCGTCGCTGCTGCTGCTATCACCATCGACCTCAGCAGATTCTGCTGCAACTGGCTGGCCACCGCTGCTGGCACGAATGTTGCTGCTGCTGCTCTGGCCGTTGGTTGTATCGTCGTCGTTGCTGCTGTCGCGGCTGCTGTCCGTGTCCACCCGAGGCGTTTTCGAAGAAGCTCCTTCCGTAGTTACGCTGCTGCTGCTGCTGCTATTGCTCTTGCTGCTGCTCTTGCTGCTGCTGCTGTGTTTGTTGCTGACCTCTTCCGCGCTGCCGCTGCTCTCGCGGATGTTGCTGTTGCTGTTGTTGTTGCTGCTGCTACTTTTACCTTCTCTGCTGCTGCTGGCTTGTTTGCTGCTACTGTGATGGTGCTGATGATGGTGATAGTGGTGGCTGCTGTGTGACGCATCTGCGGACCTGCGGGACCCAGCCCCGTCGTTGCTGACGTTGCTGTTGCTGCAGCTGCCACTGTTGCTGCTGCTGTCGTTGTTGTTGCTGCTGCAGTTGCTGTGTTTACTTCTCCCCTTGGGGTGTTTGCTGTTGTTGCTCCTTTCTTTTTGCTGCAGCGCCTCCTCCTCTAGTGAACGGCCCTTGCCGCTACTGCTGCCGCTGCTGCGGGTGTCACTGCTTGGGTGATGATGCGGCATTGTCAAGGTTCTCCAGCGTTTGCACACTCCAAGCCCCAAACCCCAAACCCTTCAAGAGAAGCAACAAGTATCCCCCTGGCGCACGGCTCCTCATGTACCAGTCGCAAATCCGTGGGTTGTAGGGTTTGGGGTATAGGGACTAGGGACAAGGGCTTGGGCCTTCAGCTTGAGGAGAAGGTCTTTGTCTGCACCGCTTAATAGTCCCTCAGTGACAAAAGAGAACAAATTGACTGTTTGCTGCTTACCTTTTTGGGATTGAAGACATCTAGGATCTGCTGCCCGTGCGGTGGGCTTGTACGGTTGGGGCCCCCAAAGTCCTAACCCTCAACCATCATCCTTAGGTTAGCGAGAGGCTTATCAGTCGGTTCGAATATGTTTCCAGTGGTAAGTATTTGAGGTTTAAGGAAAGTTTAGGGCTTTGGGTTTAGGGTTTTGCAGCGTAGCTATAACGCTGGGGCTCCTCGTGCTGCTCGACTTCAGAGCAAAGTGGAGTCAACCTAAACACTTAACCTTAATCCTGCTCCCACAGGAGGGTACGTTAGGTGGTTTACTAGGATTTTGGCATCGTGAACTACTGTGACTAGAGGGGTTAAGGTTGAGGATTTAAGTTTATGATGTGCTCCACAGCGCTGCGATAGTATGAAAGCACTACGCGGCGGACTCAGGGCCAACACCAACGTACGCCTTGGGGGGCTGTGGGGCTTCTCGCCTCCTGCAGCAATGCCTCAGAAGCGGCTGCAGAACCAGCAGCAGCAGCAGCAGGAACAGCAACGGCAACGAACGGGGCAGCGACAATCACCCACGTGTGTGCCTGCTGCTGGTCGGCCGATGGGTATAGCTAGCGGCGATAGCACCATCAACTCAGTGAGATGCAGCAGCAGCGCCACCACAAACAGCAATAACGAAAGCAGCAGCAGCAACGGCAACAGCAGCAGCAGTACCTCGCACAGCTTGGCGGGTGGCGATTTACTAGTAGAAAAGCGTCGGGGGCCCCTTGGAGGGCCCCCCGTATATACCGTGACTCTTAATCGTCCGCGGCGCCTCAATGCTTTGTCATTACCCCTGCTGCAGCAGCTGCAGCAGCTGCTGCTCTCTATCGAGCAAAAGGAAGCAAAAAATGCTCTCATAATCCTTAGAGGAGAAGGAAAACAAGCCTTCTGTGCAGGTGAGTTCTGCTGCATGCACACCTGAAACCTCAAGTAAACCCCGAGGTTAAAGATGTACACTGAGCGCCACTTGCTGCGGAGCTATTGACAACGGAGGCAACAGGTAGAATTGCCGCTACTTCCGCTGCATTTGCACCCTCTTCGAGTCGCAGCAATGAGAGCTTCTTCGGCTATCGACGGGCAGCAGCAGCAACAGGCAGCAGCAGTAGCAACGGCTGCCACAGCCGAATCATTACCTGTGTGTCTCTGTTTTGCAACTGCCTTTGCAAGGAGTTTCCTGTTGCTGCTCTTTGTGCTGTAGCTTCTGCTGCTGCTGCTGCCGTGCACGTTCGGGTGTACATACAGGTGGGGACGTCCGGGCCATTGCTGCAAGCAGTTCAGAGAGTGCCATTTCTTTTTTTTCTCTCGAATATTCTTTCGACTTGTATTTGGCGCAGCAGCAAGGGCCACCAGTGGTTGCCCTTTGGGACGGCATTGTCTTCGGTAAACCCGAACCCCAAAACCCTAAACCTTAAACAGCGACAAAATTCCACCACACTGGCAGTGTCAGCGACACAGACGAATGCCGCAGCAGGGGAAACAGCAGAAGTAACAGAACCAACTATAGCAGCGGCACGGCAGTACCAGAAACAACAGCAATAGCAGCACTAGCAGCAGCAGCAACAGCAGCAACAGCAGCAACCAGTAGGTCATTCACCGTATCGTGGATATCTTAAACCGTGAGTGCTGCTGCAGGTGGCGGTGTCGGGTTAACCGTTCACGGGGGTCTTCGTGTATGCACAGAGAATACCTTGTTCTCAATGCCAGAGGTGCTGCTGCTGTTGTTGTTGCTGCTGCTGCAACAGGTGCTGTTGTTAGGCTTGCTGCCGGTGTTTGTGTAGCTATTTCTTGCGGCAGTAGTATACGTCCTGCTGCTGCGGTTGCGCTGCAGATGCTGGTTTGTTCCCGCTGTCTTGCTTCACATTCTGTTGGCTGCCTTTGGTGCTGTTGCTGGTGCTGCTGCCATTTAGGTTCACATTGGACTGTTCCCGGACGCGGGAATGACTCAGGCCTTCGCGGATGTGAGGCCGCGCGGCCTAGGGCTGTTTCTTGCCCTCACAGGGGAGCGACTAAGAGCAGCAGACCTCATTCAAACAGGTGTGTTGCAGCTGTTGCTGCTGCTACGATTGCTGCTCCTGTTTTCGATGCAGCTTCTTCTGCTGCCCTTGTTGCCATGTGGCGGCTTTGGCCTGCACCATGAGAATTTCTGCTGTATGTGCTTCACCTAACACAAGTTGCTGCTGCGGTTGCTGCTGCTGCTCCTGCTTGCTCTCCAGGGTTTGCAACGCATTACCTGCCATCTGCCCACCTCCCCGAAGCCATTGCTCGCCTTCAGGAAGTGCGCACTCTAAGCATGAGTCGTAAACCCTACAGGAGGTGTCATGCACTCTAGTACAGCAAACCTTAAACCTAAAACCCTTGTTAGGACGGCATCTGCTAAGCAGTTAGCTGCAGCATGGACTTTGCGCATCGACGGCATACGAACGTGTATGGGTTGGGGTTTAGGGTTTAGGCCTGAGGGTCATAGTTAAGGGATTTTTCTTAATTTAGGTCTGAGGGTCAAGGTTAAGGGATTTTTGAATTTGCTTAGGGGCCCCCTCCCCGTGCCGATCCCAAGTCTTGGGCCTCCCGCGTCCTCGAGGAAGTGCGCAAGGGGGCCCCAACGGGGGCCCCTGCAACGCCACCCGAACAAGAACGGCTGCTGCAGCCTCAATTCCTGCAGTTCTTAGAGCGTTATTTCGCTAACGCTGAGTCGCTTCAGGTAGGGTTTTAGTGTTTATGTGCTAGATATGTTGGGATTGGGCTTAGGGCCTTATCAAGGCTAACGGCACGACTGCACTAGCTAAGGTTTCGGGTTTGTGGCTGAGGGTCTACGTGCAGAGCCTTGTGACCGCCTTGGAAGAGAATTCCAATTGCTGCAGCTGGTGCCGCAAAACCCTCAGCGAAATGCAGCGCGCCTGTCCGCTGTCCCTCGCCGTCTCTTTTAAAGCCATTCGAGACAGAGAGAATGCCACAGCTGCAGCAACAGCAGCAAGAACAACGACGTCTGCTCGTGGTGTCTTGGAGGGGACACCCGTCCCAGGGCAACAGAAACAGCAGGAGCATCAGCAGCAGCGGCTTCAGCTGCTGCGCGAGGCCTTACAAGTTGAGTTGGTGTTGATGGGCAACATGGCGGCAGTTTCTTGTGCAAATTTTAGAGAAGGAGTTCGGGCACTTCTCATAGACAAAGACAAAAAGCCCCAGTGGTAAGCAAACTGTATTGATGCCTGTCGGCTCAGCTCCAGGAAACCTCCCGGGGCCTCAGCCATCATCTGGTCTCGCCGTAGGAGGGTTTAGGGTTAACAGGGGGCTTCAATTTAGTGTTTGGGATGTGACGTAGGGTTTTTTAAGTATAAGTATATCTGCATCTGCAGCTTGGGTGTGCAGGCAGCCCAACAGTCTGAAGGGAGTTAGCGAAGATGCGGTGTCACAACTCTTTCAGTGGAAAGCACCTCTGCCCTTAGCGCGGCTTTGAGGCATCTGCAACGGCAACAGCAGCAGCGGATGGCAGCAGGAAAGACTGGTTGACTCCTTTTTAGCTGCTGGAGGGAGTATACACGATGAGTGTGCACCTGCGGATTCCTCCAGGGTCTTAGAATTTAAGGTTTAGGTTGTGCCCCCCAAAGCAGCCGGCAAATACCTTGCCTCTGCCTATAGAGACGGAGGGCTGTGGCCTCTTCCCGCTGTTCGCTGCCGCTGTTGCTGCGCCTCCCAAAGTTTGCTGCTGTAGAAGGGGCATATCCACCCTAGTCTTGTTTAAACGCAGCTGGGAAGGAGCAGAAAACATTGTGGGGCTGTAGAAGCAGATGCTGCTGCTGCTACCGAGCGGAGATAGCAGTCCCTTGCTGCTGCTTCTGTGGCTAGCAACCTTGGAGCGAAGCTCAAACATAACAATTAAATAAGCAGCAGCAGCAGGAACGTCACCATCAACGGCAGCAGCGAATGGAGCAGCAGTGTCAGCAGCAACGCATGAATATAATTTTTTAAGTGTAAGGCGAAAATACGTACATACAATGCAACACAGTATGACATGGATTGGGGGTTTTGCTTGACCCAGTGTATGAATGTCGATGTAACTGCAATACAATAAGACACACCCCTAGGGCCGCGTCCATATAAAGTAATATAACGCAATAAACACAAATCTATTCAGGTATTTGTCCGATGGAATCTGCTGCCTAAAATTCGCTCGGCATTCCAGGCTGACGGCAGTCGCACACCCGGCTAACCCCCCGGGATAATGTAAAATTTGAAAGGAACGGATATGTGTGGACTTCTAATCGTAACAATTTAAACAATTTAGAATATTCTGAGGGGCCAGCGCCAACGAAACTCCTGTGGAACTTCGTGGCTGTTGGCGCGCCCAGTCGTTGCTATTTGCTGTACATCCCTGAGGTGTACATGCAACGGGAAAACAGAAAGAGACTCTTAATTTGCATGCTAAATAAATATTATAACTAATATTATTTACTGCTTTACACCATTCTCTGCGGGCCTTGTTTACCGCCGATGATACTCTGCGGTGACGACCTCAAGAGGGCCCCACTGGGGGGCCCTTGGGGGCCCTTAGGGGCCCCTGGTTTACCATCAAAAGGGGGCCCTGAAGGGTCCCCCCACGCCCCCCTAGGGTTAAGGAGTTCTTCTCGGAAAAACCGAAGTAGACCATCATGTTCAAAGCATGGTCTGGTTGTGTGCTCGCTAAGCGTGCAGCAGCCGATGCACCGAGTTTAGGGTTTACGGTTCGGGTTCCGTTGTGTATGGCTCGTCGACTGCGATATGGAGAATCCAGCTGGAGAAGACTCACTGTAGAGGGGTAGGAATCACCTGGGCCCTAGGGTGTGGTGCACGAGCAGATTCTGTACACCTCAGCGTGCCTCTTGTGCTGCAGTTCATTTCTAGCGGATGCAGCAGCGGCATTTACAGCTCTTCGTGCTAGTAATCTCACTGCCGCTGCTTCTGCTGCGGCCTTTGCCTTGCACTGCTGCTGTTGCTGTTGTTGCATGTGGCAGCAGCATCCACCAGAATCCTTGTCCGTCTGGCTTTAGAAAACCCCTCATCCCTGGGTTTGCCGTCATGAGGGGGCCCCGTGGGGGCCCCCGCCTCTCTTCGAAGGCGGCGTCCCGCAGGCTGCGAAGCAGCTCCCAAGGCTCCCCTGCAGCGAAACAGCAACAGCACCAGTTACAGCAGAGGCAGCAACAGCAGCGGCAGCAAGCAGATGCAGCAAGGCATGCCGCTGCTTGTTCCTCCTCGCAGGTGTCTCTTGGAGAGGAGACGGATATTTCAAGAAACACCCTTAAAGGGCTCTTCAGTGGCCTGAGAGAGCTAGACGTGCTCTCTGCCTTCGCTGGGCCCCAGGGGTCCCTCACCAAGCCCGTACTGGGCGTACCCATAGCAGAAGCGGTTTCCAAAAGCAGCAGCTGCAGCAGCAGCAAACTGCAGCAAATCCTCAAGGCGGGGGACTACAGCCGCCTCAGGCCTTCGTTCTTGGGGTCATTCTTGCTGCCTGTACAACCCACTGAGCAGCAACAGCAGCAAGCCAATAGCGGAGGTGCTCCTGAGTACGTCGCCTCGCACTGCTTTCCTGCTGCTGCTGCTGAAGAAGACGATGTGGCAGCAGCTGCTGCAGCCGATACACCTCGGGGCACCCTGAGGGAGCGGCTGTTGCAGCAGCTGCTGCAGGGGCTGCTGCAGCAGCAGCAGCTACCGGAGATTGCCGTAGCTGGGCGCAGCAACGTAGGCAAGTCTTCGCTTATAAATGCCTTCTTCAAACTGTGCAGCAGCAGCAGCAACAACACCAGCAACGGCAGCAAATTGCCACACGCCCGTTCTTCTCGCACCCCTGGCCGCACCCAGGCCGTCGATTTCTACCTCTTCAGCGTTGCTGCAGCATCTACCCAGCGAAATCAGCACCAACAGCAGCACCAACAGCAGCAGCAGCAGCTGCTGCTGCAGCGGGGGGCGCTTGTCCTTGCAGACCTCCCGGGTTACGGTCATACCGAAGGCATATCCCCGGAGAGGGCGTGGCAGATATCTCGCACTTTGGAAGTGTATGTACAGCGTAAACAGCAACAGCAGCAGCAGCTGCAGCAGGTGCTGCTGCTTATTGACGGCAGGCGAGGCATGGGGGCCCATGATGCTGCACTCATGAGGCTGCTACTGCAGCAGAAAATCCCCATAGCAGTTGCCATCACAAAAGAAGACAGACTGAGTGCTGCGCAGTTCGTGGTCCGTTGCTGCTGCTGCTGCTTCTTCTGTGGCTGGCTAGCTGTTGCTGTTGAGCTGATGATGCAGCTGTCTGCTGCTGCCTGGCTGTGTGTTGCTGCTGCCGCCGCTCTGGTTGGTCTACGGCCCTTCGACTTTTGAAACTCGCTGCTGCCGCTGTTACTCTCTCTGCTGCTGCTGCGGCTATTAGTGGTCCTGCTGCTGTGGCTTCTGCTGCTGTGTGCAGGAGCTGGTGGAGAATCTGTCGGCTTACAAGCATCTCGTGCTGCCTCCCTATTTGATGAAGCTGCGGATGAAGCTACTTTTGGAACAGCAGAGGTGCAGCAGCAGCAAAAACAAGGGGAGAAGCGACGACTGCAACAAAAGCAGCAGCAGCAGCAGCGAAAACGAGGAGAGGGACGACGGGGGCGACGACGTCTACAGTAGCAGCAGAAGCAACTGGAGCAGCAAAAGTGCCTCAAGAGGAAGCCTTTTCAGCAGCTTTCGGAGTCCCTATGCCTCAGATACACCCGTAGAGCAGCAGGTTCAGCAGGAGGAGCGGTCCAAGCAGCAAGTTCCGGTCTTCCTCGTTTCTGCCCGGACAGGCTCCGGTATAAAGCAGCTGTGGCAGCATGTCTTGCGAACAGCAGCAAAAGGGCCCCCCAGGGCAAACCTAGCAACGGCGGGAGCAGCAGCAGCTGCAGCAACACCAGCTGCAGCAGCAACAGCAGCCGCAGAGCAACCCCCCCCCTCATTAAAGCGACGCGCAGAGATGTCGCGACGAATGGCGTTGCTCTTGGCTGGGCCCGAGCACATGCCAGACGACTGCTTCTAGCAGCAGCAGCAGCAGGTGTATTGCAGTGCGATAATGCGGCAGCAGCACCAGCCCCGATGCTGCTGCAGGTGCAGCGGCGGGCTTTAATAGCAGCTTCTGCGGTTTAGATGAAGAAACCCATGGGCGCTGCTTTACGCGCTGTCAGTACACCACAGAGTTGCTTCCGCTGCAGCAGCATAGTCCGTCTCCTTCATGTGCAATAACTGTCTATGCCCTGCTCTCCTAGACTGCTCTTGCTCCCCCAAGTACGGCTGCAGCTGCTGCTACCACCGTTCTAGCAGGTACTGTTGGTGTTTCTTTATGTGTGTGCTCGGATGTGGCAGCTGCGTGTGCGTTAAAGGTGTTGGCCTAGGTGCCCTCTTGTGTGTCTCCTTTGGCGTCAGCCTCAGTGTATCCTTAGGTGCCTTCGTAGGCGTCCCCTAAGGTGTCAGACTTTGTCTAGCTTTGTCAGGCGCTCTTCAAAGAATCAGGAGGAGGAATAAGAGAACATCGTAGCAGTTTGCATGTTGTACGAGCTGCCTCTGCCCCCAAGTGTTCGCATTTCTGTCTTGCCGTAGCTATCTGCCTCTCTGTTGTTTGTCTCTATTAAACTATCTGCCCCTCTTCGACAGTTTGTCTCTTTTTAACTGTGTCTCTCTTTTAGTTGTCTGTCTCTTTTTAGCTGCCAGTTTCTCTCTTGGTTCGTTTCTCATTACGTTGTCTGTGTGTTATCCTTGAGGTGTCTCTTTTCTCGCGCGTTTCTTCTGCAGCTTGTCTCTCCTGCAGCTTGCTTCTTCTACTTCATCTTTAGTTTAGTTTATCGTTTACCTTTAAATCACCACGTTTAAATTGCCTAAAAAGGAAACAGCTAAAGTGAAATAAACTACACTAGATACAGAAGGAGCAGAGAGGCTGAGAGAGACACAGAGAAACCAATCCACAGGCAACCCCACTGGAGAACAGCAGCGGCAGCACCTGCTGCTGCTATGTGCTGCTGGTGCTGTCTTCGGGCAGCAGCACCGCAGCAGCAAAAGCGAGCAGAATCAGATACAGATACTGCAGCAGCAGACCATCTACTCTTCCACAATCATCTCTGCTGCTTGAGTGTGTGCTGCTGTTGTCGCTGTTGTTGCTGCTGCTCCAGTTTGAGGCTCTAGAGGCTTTACGCCGTTTGCAGTGGTTGCCGTCATTTCGTCTGGTCATGTTGTCTATTTCTGCTGCCGCTGCTGCTGTTGCTGTTGCTGCAGCAGGGCTTGCTGCTGCGCGTGTTGCATTTGCTGGTAGGCCTCAAATGTCATAGAGAATTCCCCTTGGCCCTGTGTCTGCGCCCTAAGGTCGGAGATGAAGCCAAACATGCACCGCAGAGGGACGCGCGCAGAGACACAGACACTCTCTCCTTCTAGCGTACAACTGGAGACGTTCCCCTCGCGTCGGTTAAGCAACATAAGAGCTGCTGACTGCATCTCCCTAGGCACCCGCACCTCCACTACCATTAAGGGCTCTAACACCACGGGCAGACTCTCCGCTGCAAATGTCCTGCACAACAAAACAAAACCAGCAGCAACAGTAGCACAAACTACAGCAGAGGGAGGAGGCCATTATTTAGAGCCACAAAGGCATATATTTTCTGCGTAGTATCACATTCCAGTGCGTTCAAGGCATGCATACATTTAATGCTGCTTGTGTTATAGTGTTGCCGCTGTCGCTGCTGCCGTCTGCTTGCAGCAGATCCTACGCTAAGCAGAAGCAGCAGCAGCAGCAGCAGCAGCAGCAACAGCAGCCTTTCTTGTGCTTTGGGCTCACCGCAGGGCCCCCGCAGCAGCCAGGCGGAAGGCTAGGTCACTTGAGTCCACATCGTGGGCCTTCCCCCCTTGGAGAACGAAGCGGGTATTGACCATGGGGGCCCCCAAGAGGGGTCCCCGCTGCGCTGCCTCTAAGAAACCTCGTTCTATGGAGGTGATGAAGTTAGGTGGTATTTCGTTGCCAACCTGGTGCCCGTTGTAGACAAAAAAAGCACAATAAATTAGATTAAGATGCAACACAAATATAAAATACGGACAATAGCGCAATTAGTACAAAGCTCGTTGATAATAGTTCATAGAGGGTTCTGACTGCACGGCTCTAAGTTGCTTTAGAAATACCACATACATGCATTATATATATATATATATATATATA